ATTTATATCTATAAATATGTATATAACATTTTACACGTATAAATATATTAATAGGATTTTTATACGTTTTTATATCTAAAAATAGATATATAACATTTTTATACGTACAATGGTACAAATACATGCACAACATTTTTATATGTGTTTTTAAAGGTTAATTATATATATATATATATATATATTATATATATATATATATATATATAAACGTTATATATGCATAAAAATATTTCTATATGTTAATATATATATATATATATATATATATATATATATATATATAATATATATATATATATATCTATATATATATATAAGATCTTTATTTGACAAAACTGTAAGATTGGTCCCTGTGGTATTAAAAAAACTTTGGATAGGGTCCAAAAAGTTTCCAATTTGCATGGAAGGTCCAAAATCAAAGTTTTTCTGGGTTTTTGGTCCCTGAGACACTTGAAAAGTTGATTTTGCCCTTTTCGTTTCTTTTTTCTTTTTTCTTTATTTACTTTGGTATTTAAATAATTAAAAATAAAAAATAAAAAATAATCTCTCTCCCTCTCTCTCTCTCTCACAAAAACACAGATCGGTTTCTCTCTCAGTAAGATGCATTCCTCAACAAACTACTTGTCGGAGCTACTCTCAATACACCACCGTTGACCACATTTCAAAATGGGAAAGAACTCGAAATTCTTCAAATCACTCCTCGGATTCAGGACCACCAAAGCCCCCGCCACCCACCTTCACGTTCAGAGCATAAACAGCCAAAGCGACGGTGGAGTTTTGCGAAATTGCACAAAGAGATTCCTCAGCGTCGACTCTGGGAAACTTCCAAAAAAATTCCCTTTTTTTAGACCTCCGATGTTAGATCTGCGCGTTATTGGGCCTCCGATTGTGCTCTGTAACTCAACTTTAGATTTCATCTTCTCCCATAGAGCTGCCCCGACGAATAGAATTTGGTTCAAAACTCGATTTCAGACGTTCAACCCTTCCAGATCAAAAATTGATTAAAAAAATAGATTGGAGATTTCAAGAAGATGATACTGTTGTATATTTGGCCATTGATGTTCCTAAATCGAGGTGGAGGTAGACAGAGACAAAGTTTTGTTGAGAAATCGATATCTTACCTTCAATTTTCATTTCGTTTTTAGGGTTTTGTTGAGATATAGACTTCGCAGCGCCGCCTGCCATGGAGGTTATCTCCGGAATTTCAGAGCTAGGGTTTCCAGCGATGGTGAAATAGTTATGGTTTTTCTGCTTCATCTTTGTTTCCCAGTGCGAAATAAATGAACGCGAGGACGACATGGCAAAGGTGTGGATCGAAAGAGAGGAAGGTATCTTACAACCAATTACAAAACAAATACTTGCCTGAGCCGGAGTCGAGAGAGGATGTGAGCGAAGAAGATACAATGGTGTTCTTGAATGTTGAAGAACAAAGCAATAAATGTGAGTGTTATTGGTTGCTGACGAGAGAGAGAGAGAGAGAGAGGAGAGAGAGAGAGAGAGAGAGGAGAGAGAGAGAGAGAGGAGGAGAGAGAGAGAGAGAGAGAGAAGGGGGTACGGTGGGTGGAGTCAGAGGGGTAGGGTGATATATTTTATTTTTTATTTTTTTATAATTTTTTAAATTATAACACAATAAAAAAATGGAAAAAAGAAATAATAAGGGTAAAATGGACATTTCAATATTTTCAGGACCAAAACTAAAGAAAAACCTTGATTTTGGACCATCCATGCAAGTTGGAAACTTTTTGGACCCTATCATAAGTTTTTTGAATACCACAAGGACCAATTTTTCAGTTTTGTCAACTTTATTTGCATGTATAAAAACGTTATATATATATATATATATATATATATATATATATATATATATATATACCTACTAGGTGACCGTCCCTAGTAGGTAAAATTTGGCTAAGAGGCAAAACTAATCATATTTTCTGGCATTTGAGACATTAACATACAAAAATCCGATTTTGGGCATAAACGAACATTTTGTTAAATACTAGAGGCTTTTATGTCAATAACCCATAAATATAACGGAGTTTGTAGGGCCTTGAGTATAAATAGAGTTTGGGTTCGGCCTACATCCAAACATATTTAAGTCGTCTAAAGCTTTCTTCTTCGTCGTGTGATCCACAGTTGTCTTCTAATTGTTCTATGTTGAGTGGTTTTGTTAATAGTCAATTCCTCTTTAAGATTTTATTTTTTTCTCCTATTAATTTATGCGAGGATGGATACTAAAATGTTTAGATTAACCGACCTTATAATCTTGTAAGCTACATTTAGTGAATATTTCTCTTTGAAATTATATGTTATGATAACATAACTTTTTTATTACTAAAATTTAGTGTAAATATATGCAAATGTATTATTGTCTTGGATTTACTCATGCTCATGGTCGTAGCAGATGTTTATAAATTGTATTCAATGTTGAATTGAATGGTTCCAACTTCTTAATGAATGGGCTTACATCCAAACATAAAACCTATCTTTTTTTGCTAAATCTTTCTCCTTCTCCATCGTGATTCAGTGCTCCTTCCTTTCTCTTATCTGTTGAGTTGTTTTCTTAATTTCCCTTTAAGATCTTTTTTTGCCTTATAGTTTATATGATTATGGCTGTAGATTCATCGACACTATAATAATGTATTGATGATATTTTTTGAAAATATATTAGATTATGTAGTTGAGCATAACGACCATCAAACTTTGGTTATTTGAATATCTATTTTGTATACATAGGACATGCGCAATCAGTTCATTGCATTTTAATAAGTTTATCCCTATCGCTTTCGTTCACAACCAATTACTTTTTTCATTATCTTAGTTTTGAGTTAATTTGTTAATTTAGATGCAGGGCAATCGGAACTACATCATATAACTGAGAACATAACTATTTTATTATTATTTTTTTATGTAAATATATTACTTCTATTGAAGTTGCTCATGCTCATTAGTTTCACCGCCAATATTAGTTGATGAATATCTGGTGCATCCATTTACTTATGTAAACTATCAAGACATAAAAACGGCTAGGGTTTTATATTATTATCAAATGAGAAGTACAAGATACAATGAAAGGAAAATACATACTAGCTAATCACAGTTTTCTAGCTAATGGGCCAAAATAAGACCCAATACAAAATAAGTCCATAATCTTATTATCCTAACATCCCCTTCAAACTCACAATGCAACAAAGCAATATGCATTGAGAGTTTGTCAGACATAAAATGAAATCGATGAGCAGTCAATGGCTTTTGCAAGAATATCAACAATCTGCAAAGTGGAGGAAACATAAGGAAGAGAGATAGTGCCCTTCTGGAGACGATGTCGTGTGAAATGACAATCAATCTCAATGTGCTTTGTACGCGCATGAAACACTGAATTCTTGGCAATCATTATCGCACTCTCGTTGTCATAATACAAAGGGGTAGGCTGAGAGATGTGAATGCTGATATCTGCAAGAAACCATCTCAACCAAACAATTTCTCAAGTAGCGATAGCCATAGCTCGATGCTCAAATTATGTAGAAGATCGAGAGACAATATCTTGTTTCTTTCCTTTCCATGATATCAATGAATCTACAAGAGAATCACAATACCCAGTAGTGGACTTACGATCATAAATATGACTATCCCAATTTGCATCACTATAGGCATATACATCAAGAGAGGATGTAGATGGAAACACAAGAGTGCGGAACTGAGTACCACGTAGATATCTCAAAATACAAAGAACGGCTCCCCAATGAACAGTAGTAGGAGCAGTGACAAACTGACTAACCACACGAACTGCATGAGCAATATTCGGTCTAGTGACAGTCAGGTAAACCAAAATCCCTACAATGGTATGATAAAGGCTTGGATCTGATAATGGGACACCATCAGTTGGAGAGTACTTTGCATTACTTTATATAGGCATATCAACTGTCCGATTATCCGTGAGTCGTGCACGTTCAAACAAATCAGAAATATAGTACTCCGTCTGAGATAAAAGAAAACCATTTGGAGACTGAGCAACTTCAATCCCCAAGAAATACCGTAGCAAACCCATGTTTTTCATAGCAAAACGGTGAGCCAAATCACGCTTTAAAGACTCTATACTATCATGATCATCATCAGTAATAATCATGTCATCGACATATAAGGAAAGAATAATCCACCCTGCATTCGTATATCGAACAAATAGAGTCGAGTCATTGTTACTTGGTTGAAAACCAAACGAAGTAATAACCATAGAAAATTTCTCAAACCAAGCACGAGGGGCTTGTTTGAGGCCATATAGTGTCTTCTGAAGCCGACAAACTTCACCTGATTGGTAAGCAATACCAGGGGGAGGAGACATGTATACTTTCTCATGAAGATCACCATTTAAGAACACATTCAACCATATATATGGTCTAGCTCTGCCATTGTTCACTACCTTTCATATTTGCATAAAAGTGAACCAAAGAGTAACAATCATGATAAAACATAAATATTAAATATGTAACACAAGATGTGACTGAAACAAGTCACATTAATTACTAGACAACCAAAAAATGTGCTAATTACATTAATATCAACCTACAATTTTGCATCTAATATGCAAGTCACGATAGAATCAACCAAAATGTAGGTATGATTATGATCAAGAAGTTTAAGCTTACAGTCTCATTGACCGAACCAACGTCTCATGTTGAACAAGGGTTTCCAAATAATTTGAAAATAATAAAGTAAATCATTTGAATACTGAATCATACTCGTCTTTTTCCTACAGAAACAAACAACGGATATTTTTCGCAAGCAGTCCCCGTGTCTATATTAAATGAAGGCTTTCAACACATTTAAAAATGTTTTGTATGTGAAAAGCATCATTGAAGTTCACTAGTCTTGATTATTGCACACCCGTCTTGGAATTATAAACTTGGACCCCCTCCTTATAAGTGTTGATCAACAAATCACCATTGTTGGTCAGTTGCAAAGCTCCTTTGATTGAAATCAAAGAACCATTTGTTTGATCAATTTTAAAACCACAAACCAAGAAGCATCTCTCCATACCTAATTAAACAACTTTCACAAGAAATCAAAGCTAGAGAACCTTGGATGGTTGTTAGTCTGTTCACTACCCAACTCAAACCGGGTACATGCAATGGAATCATACCAAAAACATGAGTGTTCAAATCGAAGGTCAGTATACAAGAAATGCCTTTGTCTTGTGATTCTGTATGATAACCTTGTACCTCCCAATGAAACAATCCACAGAAAAAATAGGCCTGATATGACACATAAGTAGACTGAGGTTTAGGGGAAGCAATTCCACACCAAATGCCACTCTTCACAGCATAAACAAATGAATGGTCTTTGGCACACGATATCAAGACAATTTTGTAATCATCACTGATTGGATCGAATCCAAACCCAATCCCTGCCCAAGGGAGTTCAGAACTTCGAGGACATTCAGGCACACTTAATAAGAACCTAATTGAAGGGTTCCATAGACTCAAATGATTTTTAATCCGCAAACAGATGATTCCATTACATGAATCAACAATTCTGCCACTAGGAAACTGAACTGGTGTTATACCAATGTATCCACGTTTACTGCACAATGGCAACTGGTCTTCTCCATGTAATGTATAAAAATCTGCGTCTTCATTTCTGTAACTCTTTCCATGTCTGAAGAGAATTTTTTGTGGGGATCGAAAAGTGTGCATGCCTATGAAACTGGGGCTAGAATACAACTACATAACGACTTAGAGAGTGACCTAAATCCGAGGAGGGATTTAGGCAGTAGTCTTGTAAATACTTAAATAATTAACTCTTCACATAGATAATCTGACATTGTTTAGTCCTGCATTTTTTTTAACAAGATAAAAATCAACTGAAATATATCAAACTATTTGTGTTAGCTTTTCAATGAATCAAATTCTTGACTGAAATCAAACAAAATCAGTTAAGTTTAAATTTGGTTTTCCTTATTCCTTGTATAAATATGCCATATTCTTTATTGATGCAACAATACTGTTCATTTGCTACCTCTCCATGCCAGAAGATAGAAAACTTGAAATTTTAGTAGCCATCATCGAATAAATTGATAGGGAAGAAGATAAGATCTTAAAAGGGGAATTGACTATTAACAAAACAAGTTACCAGAGAAGCGGAAGAAGAGGAACGGCGGATCACGATGAAGAAAAAAAGCTTAGACGCCTTAAATATGTTTGGATTTAGGCCCAACCCAAATTTTATTAATTCTCAAACTCTTTAAAGTTAAAATTCTTTTCTATCTGATATTTATTTCGTTTATAAAATTTAATTTTGTTTATTTTTTGAAGTGTATATATATAGAATTACTTATTTAACAGAATGATTAATGTTATTGCAAATAAGAAATTCTTATGAAATGTATATTTACTATTCAGTTTTTCACCAAACACACATGTATACTATTTCAGCGTTTAAATTTAGCTAATTGTTTTAATTAATATATGTTTATTTTTTTTCTTTATTTTAGGAAAAGATTCAAGGGGAGAAGAGGAAGATGCAAGAAGAGCTCAGGAAGGGCAAACACTTAAATGAAGAACATTGTCTCCTTCATGCCCTCGGTGAGAGTCACGGACATGTTTGTGGAGTTGGAAGGAAACCAAGCATCAACAATCATTTAATTCCAAATCAACATTCAAAACCTTCCAAATCCAAATCTCAAAATATGGATAATTCCCAAGTTGTTGGATTAACCCAACAAATGGAATTTCAAATGAAACAATACATGCAACAAATGCAACAAACGCAACAAACGTATAATAATTCATTCGTGTCCGTAATTCCTTACTTCCAACCACCAACCACCAACCGTGCTACAATTTTCATTCAATCCCAATATGTTTCAACCAACCAACGAGACCGATGAGAGCAATGAAGATTGTGATTAATCTTTTATGTTATTTTAAATAATGTTTGTTGTAGACTTTTTATTTTATTTTATTTTGTTATATAGTAGATCTTGAATTTAAACTTTGATGGTTTGTTATGTTTATTTAGTGTTTGACATTATGTTGCATATATAATGGCTAGATTTGTTTTTAAAAATAGGTTTGGTATATATAACAAAATTTGTGAAAAACATTTAAAAAAAAAAAGAAAGACTTTACCGACGACATGTCTTCGGTATAAGTTATAAGTCATATATAACTGTAAAAACGATTATGACTTATACCGACGGCATGTCGTCGGTAAAGCTCAAATGAAAAAAAAAACGGTTACCATCATTTCCCGACGATAAGTCGTCTGAATAGGTTGACCTTTCCCGATAACAAGTTGTCGATACAGGGTTGCCTCTATACCGGCGACAAGTCGTCTGCTAAAGTATATAATAAAACTTTCTTTTTCTTGAAAATCACTTCCAACGACCATTTTCAGACGACAAGTCGTTGGGATTGGTTGAGCTATACCAACGACATCTATACCGACGATATTGTCCACTTATGTCGACGGAGCTGTACCGACAACTTTTTCCAGAAGACTTGTCGTCGGAATAGGGTTTACCGACGACTTGTAGTCGGCATAGGGATAGAAAATATCATTGGTACAGGTTGCATCCTTGTAGTTAAGTTTTAGCCAAACATGTTTTTTAAATTTTTTATTAAAAATGAAAACTTCACTCTATTTTCTTAAAACGTTTTCTAGAAAACCAAAAGTCCAAAAGTAATTTTTAACAAGCAAACACATCCCGAGTCTCTCGCTTTAATTAGACGGAGACATTGAGCAGTAATTAAAAAAAATTGCAAAACCTTTTCTAATGCAAGATAAAAATACTCCTTTAATCCAAACAAAGTCCACAGATCCTAAACATATCGAGATCTATCTAAAGATTAAAAAAAAAAACCTTAAAACCCTACTCTCCTTACAACGTCAGGCCGTCACCACCAGACACCACCATTCCCCGTCACCGCTGCCCCTGCTATATGCAGTCCCCGGTCTTCGATGACAACGTTTAAAACCGCAAATAGTCGATGCTGAATGCCATCCCTTAACTCATGCTTATCGTCAGGTTTTGTCGTCACAGCCTTTATCTATTTCACGTCTTTTATTTGGCTATACGTAAAAATTTGTGATAATAAAGAGAAATGATGCTTATACAGTTCTACCAATATCCAAAATAGCCAAATAGGATACGCTAGATATGACTGAGAATTCTTCTTTTAGTTTGCTGTTATATATGTTTACTTGTATATATATCTTTGTGAACTTGTTAATTATTTGGCATTGGGACTCGTAAATCTATAATGCAAAATATCTAAAATGTCATAAATAAATAGATATGATACTAACGTTAAAAATGAATTCACACCAAGCAGCCTTTGAAGCCTTTTTTCATATATAGCAGATTCATTCCGGCTTTTTTTATCTCTTCTCATTTGAAACCCATGGTTTGCCTGCCTGCCTGGCACCCATCTAAATTCCAATGCATCCCCTTGTTGTTTATAAAATGGCTGATTTACTTCCTGTGATGGTGAAATTGACAGATACAGAAGAGAGACAATGAGGCAAATGCTTATATATTTATTCAGAGGGGAAAAAACTTCAAGTACAAAAAACGTCACATTTTCCTATCTATTTAAAAGAAAAATAGCATAAAAGTAGGAACTAACATCTAGTGGCCAAAGACCAGGAACCACCTTCCATACGCCTTTGATTTATTCTTCTAGAAAATAAAACGTGCTGAAATAAGTAAATAAATAAACTCTGAATTATTTTTCAACATTTTCCCCCTTAATTCAGAGTTTTCCAATCTTCTTGATCCCAATCAACTTGCACATCTCATCATGTTTCACTCTAGCCAGAGCTTTTGTGAGTATGTCTGCCTTTTGTTCCTTTCCATCCACATGAGTTACTACAATTTCACCATTCTCCACGCATTCCCTGATAAAATGAAACCTTATATCTATGTGTTTACTTCGACCATGAAAAACTGGGTTCTTCATGAGTTCTAGAGCAGACTTGTTATCCACATGCATAATCACTGGAGGGATGTCTTGACCAGTTATCTGTGACAGCAATCTGCGCAGCCAAATTCCTTGGCATGCTGTCATTGTAGCTGCCATGAACTCAGCCTCACACGAAGACAGAGCTACACATCTCTTTTTTTTGTGAAGACCATGTGACTGGGTTTCCATTCACATAAAATACCATGCCACCTGTACTTCTTCTATCGTTCACATCCTTGCCATGGTCGCTATCAGAGTACCCTTCAACTGTTATCTGCTTATCACCTTTTGTGTAGATTATACCATGACCCAGTGTTCCTTTGATATACCTCAGAATTCCTTTTACAGCTTGAAGATGTGCTGTGGTTGGTTTCTCCATAAACCTGCTTACTACCCCAACTGCAAACGATAAGTCTGGTCGGGTATGTGTCAAATACCTGAGACCTCCTACTATGCTTCTGTATTCCGTTGGGTTCACAAGCTCTCCATCTCCCTCTTTTGTTAATTTTAGCTTGTGTTCCATAGGGGTTTTTGTGGCATTACATTCAAGCATACGTGTTTTTGACAGCAGGTTCCTTGCGTATGCTTCTTGTTTTAAGGAGATAGAGTTGTTACTTTGACATACCTCGATTCCCAAATAGTATGATAGCAATCCCAGGTCACTCATTTCAAACCTTGCATTCATCTCCTTCTTGAAATTAGTCACATCATCAGGAGAGCTACCAGTAACCAGAAGATCGTCAACATATACCCCAATGATCAGCGTGTTTCCCTCTCTTCTCCTTGTATAAACAAAATACTCTTGTGGACACCGATTGAAGCCTATTTCTTTCAGGTACTTGTCGAGACAAGCATTCCAGGCCCTGGGAGCCTGTTTTAGCCCATACAAAGCTTTGGAAAGTCTGTAAACTTTTTGAGTTTTCCCTTTCTTCTCGAAGCCTTCAGGCTGCGACACATAGACTTCTTCCTCTAACTTTCCATTCAAAAACGCTGATTTTACATCGAGGTGATGGACATTCCACCCATTTGTCCCTGCAAGAGATAGGATTACTCTAACTGTCTCGATTCTCGCTACTGGTGCGAATACCTCCTCATAGTCTACCCCATGTTTTTGTACATAACCCTTTGCCACTAACCTTGCTTTGTGCTTAACAATTTTTCCACTGGGATCACGTTTTACCTTGAAGACCCACTTCAGTCCAATTGGCCATCTTCCTTGTGGAAGATCGACTAGACTCCAGGTCCTGTTCTTCTCAATCGACATCAATTCTGCTTTCATCGCCTCAATCCATTCAGCCTTGTTCTTCGCCTCTTGGTACGAGCCTGGTTCTTCATCGTTGCGAATTAAGAGTAATTCTTCCAGCGGGACATGGATTTCTTCTGTGTTCTCGTACAGGTCATCATGTAGGCAAAATCGCTTTGGCGCTCCACCACCAGTGGATTCTGAATTGGAGGACCCAATTGAGTGGTTTTTAGAATTTGGGGTGTTGGGTAAGCTTGGAAAATCGGGTGAACTTGGTGTACCCGGATTATTCATTGGAATGGATTGTGGGTTGGATTGCGAGCCCACCTGAGAGTTAATGGGTTGTGACCCACTACCTCTCCAATCATCTCCCATTTGTGGTGGCCCATGACTCGCTTGGGGTGTGCTGGAATCCGATTCGTACCCATGGTCTTCAACATCATCACTGACGACGTCTAAATCAAAGCCTTTCACTGTGAATTCCATATCCGACATCTTCTTGATCTTCACCGATTTATCCCACTCCCAGCTTTTATTCTCTTCAAACACGACGTCTCTGCTCACATACATCTTCCCAGTGTCAGGATCAACTAGGCGATAGGCTTTTGTACCCTTTTCAATTCCAAGATGAACTAATTTCTTGCTCCGTTCGTCTAGCTTTTTCAGGTGATTCTTATGAATCATCATGTGAGCTAAACACCCAAACACCTTGAGATGCCCTACATGTGGTTTTCGACCAGTCCACATCTCATAAGGGGTCGATTCTTCTAACGCTCTCGTCGTGACTCTATTTAGAACATAGACAACATGATTTACCGCTTCACCCCAAAGAATATCTGGGACATTCATAGACTTCAAATTACTTCTAACCATCTCCAAAATTGTGCGATTTCTACGTTCGACCACACCGTTCTGCTGTGGTGAGTAAGGGGAAGTGTAATTTCGATCAAGCCCAATTTCTTCACAGAACTTTGTAAACTCGTTTGAGAGAAATTCTCCTCCCCGATCCGTTCTTAAAGTCTTTATCTTTTCTCCGGTTTCATTTTCCACCTTTGCTCTGAAGTTCTTGAATGTCTGAAAGGCTTCATCTTTTGTCTTCAGTAGGTACACCCATTGCACTCTGCTGTAATCATCAACAAGGAGCATGAAGTATCGATTTCCTGAGGGTGTGGGTGGTGAGACTGGGCCGCACAAGTCTCCATGGACGAGTTCTAACCTTCTTTTTGCTCTGTAGCTCGTCTGAGTGGGATAAGAGTTTCTTGTTTGTTTTCTAATCAGACACCCTTCACAAGGCCGGGACGGGACATTAGTTCGAGACAAGCCTTCCACTATCTTCTTCTCTGACATCAATTTTAAGGTTGCAAAATTGATGTGCCCTAGACGTGTGTGCCAGAGCCATGTCGGTTCAGTAATCTCAGCAACCAGACATGAATTACTGACCTGTTCCAACTCAATCTTGTACAATCGATTAGGGGATCTGTGCACCTTCATCAGCAATTTTCCGGCTTTGTCACGAACCCACAAGTACGGTTCCTTTATCTTGATTTCTGCACCGATCTCAGACAGCTGCCCGAGGCTAATTATATTGTTACACGGGTCTGGTATAAAGTATACTTCTTGGAGTTTTCTGTGTTCTCCATTCTTGCACTGAAAGACTACCGTCCCCTTTCCTTCGATTCTTACCCTGGTCTCATTCCCGAACTTAACGAACCCTTGTATCTTCTTGTTCAAGGTTTTGAATTTGCTTTCATCCCCAGTCATATGGTTGCTTGCTCCGCAGTCCAGGTACCAGATGCTTTGCTTTGCTTCTGGATCTTAGATTTGGAGTCATGTTTTCTTCATTTAGGTACACTTCGCCATTTTCTTCTCCATCTTCTATTGACGACAATAACAGGGCTGGTTCATTGTCTTCTTGAATCAAATTGGCTTCTTGATTCCTTTCTTTCTTTGGATTTTGACATTCTGAAGCATAATGACCAAAATCCTGACAATTATAACATTGTATCTTACTTTTGTCATAATTGTTTGATCCAGAAGCACTTGAGTTTTTCTGGTTAGTATGATTTCCTCTACCGTGTCCACCACGGCCTCCACCATGTCGGCCTCTTCCTTTGCCTCTGCCTCGTGAACTACCAGATCCACCATGACCTTGTTTGTTCTTTGAATCCCCCTCCTTCTTCTTTCTTTCTGACCATTCTTGATGCGTTAACAGGAGCTTGCGGTCATCTTGATCATCTCGTCCCTTTAATCTCTCTTCATGTGCCTTGAGTCTCCCTATTACCTCTTCAACAGTCATTGTCTCTAGGTCACCAAATTGTTCCAACGTGGACGCAAGTTGGATGAATTTTGAAGAGACTGCCCTGAGCAGTTTCTTCACCACGTATGATTCTTCAACTTTTTCACCTAGGGAGCGTATTGAGCTGACTGTACTTGTAATCTTCGCAGTAAATTCATCAATAATGTCTGATTCCTTCATGCATATAGCTTCAAAGTCAGCCTTTAGGGTTTGAATTCGGGCCGATTTGATTCTATCTGCCCCTACGAACATCATCTTGAGGGCTTCCCAAGCTTCTTTCGCTGTCTTCTTTTCAGCTAGCACCATCAACAGATCCTCAGGAATACCCTGATAGATGGCGGCTAGGGCCATGTTGTCCTTCTTTGCTTCAACAAGAGTGTTTGCAGTTCTGGGCTCCACTGCGTCCCACACACCCTGCGCCAACATGAAAACCCTCATCTTGATCGCCCAAGCACCATAATTCGACCTGTTTAACATGGGATAATGCAGTGTTACTTGTCCGTCTTTGTCACCGTTGCCATTGTTGCTACTGCTGCCAATAGTCATCTTCTCACGTGGTTGATATTTTGGCATACACCAGGAATTGCTCTGATACCAAATGTTGTTTATAAAATGGCTGATTTACTTCCTGTGATGGTGAAATTGACAGATACAGAAGAGAGACAATGAGGCAAATGCTTATATATTTATTCAGAGGGGAAAAAACTTAAGTACAAAAAACGTCACATTTGCCTATCTATTTAAAAGAAAAATAGCATAAAAGTAGGAACTAACATCTAGTGGCCAAAGACCAGGAACCACCTTCCATACGCCTTTGATTTATTCTTCTAGAAAATAAAACGTGCTGAAATAAGTAAATAGATAAACTCTGAATTATTTTTCAACACCCCTAATTAAGTGAATCAATCCAAGGAATATCACAAAAGACAAAGTTGGAATTATGGCTGTAAAGATATCCAGATTCATCAACATTATAATCATGTATTGATGATATCTTTTTGAAAGTATATTAGATAATGTAATTGATCATAACGAAGATCAAACTTTGGTCATTTGAGTATCTGTTTTGTATACATAGGACATGCGCAATCGGTTCATTGCATTTTAATAAGTTACGATTGCAAGTAAGACAAACAGAACTAAATAGAATAGTATCACCAATATTTATACATAAATAAATAGGCATATAAATGCCCTATGGCTTTCATTCACAACCAATTATTTTTTTCATTTTATCTCAGTTTTGAGTTAATTTGTTAATTTGTTAATTTAGATGCATGACAATTGGACCTAGATTATGTAACTGAGAGCATAACTCATTTATTATTAATTTTTTGTGTAAATATATTACTTCTGTTGGAGTTGCTCTTGCTCATTAGTCTTACTGTCAATCTTAATTGATGAACATCTGGCGCATCCATTTAGATAAACATGAATATATATTGACAAGAATTCTAAACTTATTCAAACAGAGAAGAGTTTTAATTGCGTCCTATTACAACTGATTTTTATATTGTTGGAAAAATGCAGATGTCAGAATATATATGTGAAGAGTTGATTGTTGAAATATTTACAAGACTACCACCCAAATCCCTCCTCCGATTCAGATCACTCTCTAAATCGTTATGTAGTTATATTTCTAGCCCAAGTTTCATACACATGCACACTCTTAGATCCCCCAAAAAAATCCGCTTCACGCATCTAAATAATGACGACAAAACTAAAACCTTTTATACATTACATGGAGAAGACGAATTGCCCTTGTGTTTGTGTCCCAAACGTGGATATATTGGTATAACAACAAGAATTCCGTTTCCTTGTAGCAATAAATATTTCAGAACTGTTGGTTCATGTAATGGAACTTTCTGTTTGAAGACTAAAAATGTTTTGACTCTATGGAACCCTTCAATCAGACGCAAACTAAGAGTACCTGAATGTCCTCGGAGTTCTGAACTCCCTTTGGGAGGTATTGGGTTTGGATTTGACCCAATCAGTGATGATTACAAAATTGTGTGGATATCATGTGAAAAAGACAGTTCATTTGTTTATGCGGTGAAGACGGGCACTTGGTGTGAAGTTGCTTCCCCTAAACCTGAGTTTACTTATGTGTTATATGAGGCTTTTTTATTCAATGGAGTGTTGCATTGGGAAGTAGATCATGATCCTATCAAATCACAAGACATATACCCTCCTTCCTATATACTGACATTCGATTTGAGTACTCATGTTTTTGGTATGATTCCATTGCCTGGACCCACTTGGGATTGGCTAACAACAGGAATAACAACCATCCAAGGTTCTCTAGCTTTGATTTCTTATCGTATGGATGTTGATGATACTTGGATTCGGGTATGGAGAGATGTTTCTTGGTCTGTGGTTTTTAAATTGGGAACAGGTAAACTTCCAGTTGATGGAGCTTTTCAATTCCAACCACAACCGCAAACAACCAATGATTGTGATTTGTTGCTCAGAACTTATGGGGAAGGGTTCCAAATTTATAATCCCAAGACATGGATGCGATCAAGATTACTCGACTTCAATGCTGCTTCTAGTTTAATAGCCTTTCGGCAGTGTGTCGAAACACTTCATTTGTTAGACATGGGAGTGACTACTTGTGAAAAGAAACAACTATAAAGAAAAAAATAACATTTTGATTTTTGTCGCATTTTAATTACCATTTTCGTCTCTGTCATTGATACAAAAAAGTTGATGCTGTTAGATTCTTTTATTCTATTAATAAAAAATTAAATATGTAATTTCCGGCTTGTTGGCCAATAAAAGGAGATCTTTTTGAGGCTAAAGTTGTTGATGGTCAATTGTCGAAAGGTAATAAAATTATGTTGCCTTTGACCTTTGTTTATAGCAATTTCACTACAAGAAATACTGGTATTAGCGGCGACAGCCGTCGCCGCAAAAGAGTAGGTTTGTCGCCGCTAAAAGTATTAGCGGCGATACGTCGCCGCAAATACGTCGCCGCTAATGCTTCGTCGCTAATGCCCTTCTTGTTGCCGCTAATACTTACCTATCGCTGCTAAAAACACGTCGCTGCTAATACTTATATGTCGCTGCTAAAAACGCGTCGCTGCTAATACTTATATGTCGCTGCTAAAAGCGTCGCTGCAAAAGACTCTTCATTTTTTTTTTTGTTACAATTTTATGAAATATAAATCTATAATTTTATAAAATCAGTTATATTTAACCCATACACAACCAAAAACAATATAACAATGATAGAATATTAATCCACAATCAAAAATATTAGTCTATACAACCTAATTAAAGTATTATTCTAAACAAACATTTCATAAAATCCTAAAATTCCTACTCCTCGCCATCACTCTCATCATTTCGTTCATTATTTGGTGGTGGCAATGAACGAAACCACTCTTCTAATGCCGCAAAACATGTCGGGTCCTTCAGTATCGTTTGCAGCATTTCCATCTACAAAGAAATCAAAATATATTACCAATATATCATAATAGTATTATACTTTTCAAAAACTACCAACATATCATTATAGCATTATAGCATTATACTTTTCAACTTAAACAAACAATTACCTGTGATTGTGGTGCTTCTTGTGTCATCGGTTGTTCTTGATCGTACATAGACACAACGGTAGGGGGTTTACGCCCAATGCCTCTAATATGTCCGCGTCGAACACCCAATATTTTTTCAAAACATTTTTTTGTATCACTTGGCGTTAGACCGCTTGCTGAAGAAGAAGCTTGGGTTTGTTGATTGATCTCCTGAAGTAAAGCATTCTGTATTTTCAAAAAATGATAAACATCATAAAAATAGATTACTAAATACCCTTGACGATATAAACACTTATATGAAAATACAAATTAACCACTTACGTATTGTTGCTCGACTGCAGGACTATAAAACACCCCTTGGCGATTGGAATTAGCCTTACGGAATACTTCGATTCGAGTGATATCCTATTTAACAAAAAAAATAGATTAATTATACTTTAAATAAACATTTAAATAATCATAACTTACTTCTTTGAAGCATGCATTACTGTACGAGCTCGACCCCCCTCTGTTTACAACTAGTTGTTTTGCACGGACTTCTTTGTTTGAAGCCGAACGACTTAAAAATTCGGGCGATTGAAAATGTTCGACTGCCTTCGCCCAATTTTCTGGTGACATACTGTTGGGGGGTTTGTTTAGTGCCATTGGGATATCTGCAGGCCCCCCGATATCCTTAAAATAAGAATGGGCTTTACTTTTTCGGCCTCTGTAAACTTTTGCAAGACTCGAATCAATGCTCTGCAACAATTGTGCACGCTCCGGATCCAAGTTAACCTTATCCAAATCAAACTTATTCTACAAATACAAAAAAGTTAGTTAATTAAATAACAATCACAACGAAACTTAAAATATTATTCAAGTTACCTTTAGATGCACAACTGTCGCATTCCTTAACGCCGGGGAAACATTGTCTCAACCAGATACGTTTAAAGGGACGTTGTTCCACAAATACCTCTCAATTTCATGTGTGAACCAATTGGCAGGCTTCCCGACAGGGGAATATGTGATCTCTCTGTCAAAATTCAAATCCACAGTCTTTCCCTTGTTTACCCTTATCCACTTTCCTAGCTCTATATTCTTTGACAAGCCCCTTCTTTTCTTTGGAAGCTCGACTGAAAAAATACAATTAAAAATATTAGTCACGATAACTTATAATAAATTAATTAAAATAGCTAATAAATATATCATAATAAAACTTACCATCCTGTTCATGTTGCCCGCGACCAAAGCCTCATGGAGATGGTGGATCCCCAGCTCCATCACCTCCGTGACCAAGGCCCATAATATCAGCCATCATAACAAAGAATATCGCCCACGTAAACCTCATTTGTAGCCTGTAAAATTAATAGATGTACAATATAGAAATACAATATGAATAAAAGTTAGTTACAAAACAATTTATGATTATGAATAACTATATTTCTTATAACTATATTTAATATCTAAATTAATAATAGAAAATTTAATTTAATAGTTTTACAAAACAATTTATGATTATGAATAATTTTAAAACTAAAATACCACATAAATATTAAATTTGATTTGAAAATTACTCTTTGTAATATACACACTTTGTTTTTCACACATTACATACATAAATGCACACACTATACATACAAATACATATAAACATTTTCCTACACATATTCATTATAGCATCATACTTATTTTTCTATTATAGCAACCTAATTCCAAATAATAACCATACAAATAACACACAAAAACATACAAATAACACACAAACACAATTCTGGCGACAATTCATTCCAAATTCCAAATAATAACCATACAAATAACATATAAAAACATACAAATCAAATATATAATTTCAAAAGTCATGAAAAGGAACCTGTACTAGTGTAATTTAGCGATTTTCCGGTAAGAAATCCAGTTTTCCGACAACAATTCCGGCAACAGATTCGGCAGAAGTAGATTTTCCGACAAGGGTTCAAAAAACATTAAATTAAACACTTAAAACCAGTAAAGAAAACTCCAAAACAGAAGTTGAATAGAAAATAGGGAAGAAATCGAACCTTAAATCGAACTTTTGTCGCCGGAAATGAGTGTGGTCGCCAGTAATAATGGAGCTCCACTGGTGGCCGGCGGTAATGGCTGCCGGAGACGAGTCCTGTGGCGCAAACGAGGTCGTCGTCGGAGGTGCAGTCGTCGGTAATCGTTGGAGGAGTGAAAGGAAGCAGAACGAAAAGAAAAGTGACGCAGTGGGGGGGTTATCTGTGACGAGTATTAGCGGCGACACTAGGGTTTTAGCGGCGACACTAGGGTTTTAGCGGCGACAATAGGTTATTAGCGGCGACACCCCTGGAGCGAAAACACAGCGCCCTTTTTCCTCATTTCCCACCGTCGGATGAAAAGCAGATCGAACGGACATGGTTGATTTGACGCGGATCGACACTGTAGCATCATTAGCGGCGGCATGTAACGCGTCAATTACATGTCGCCGCTAATAGCCGGTGTCGCCGCTAATACCGATATTTCTTGTAGTGTTTGTCTTTTCATCATCTTGATTCTACAGGTCTAGCACGGATTCCTTGCCCAATGATTTCCAAAGTATAGTGGACTATGTTCTCATTTTGCTACCCGTGTTCTTGTAAATTAGTAGACCAGACAACTTAAATTACATAAATTACATGTATAATAAGACTAAATTACATAAATTTCCCTTTACAAAAATATCACTGATCTGAACCCCCCTTGTTTTGATTTAGCATTCTTCTTCACAAATAAACACACAATGAATGAAAAGAAGCAGTGGTGGCTGCCTGAGTTCACGAGCAGTTAAGATGGCTTGGACTATCCAAGCTCCGATAATTGTTTTTGCCGCCAAAACTCATCATATCCAGATGTTATCCAAGCTCCAGCCATGAGACCTTTTTCTTGATCAAGGGTATCGCAAGGATTTGTAGTTGTAGGAGCTTCAAAGATTCCTCAAATTTCCTCTCCAGCATCAAATTTTATTCTAATTCTTGTAAGAGCATCTACTTTTTTTAAAGTTTTTTACTATTTGAATAAATGGAAAAACTTTGTTGATGTAGGTGTAATTCAGGAAAAAGCCCACAGAGGCATTTTAGGAAAGTTGCTTTTATTAATTTTGTTTCCCACTTTTAGAGTATGAGTCAAATTCTTTTTGTTTAGTATAAATATGTTACGATAGGTATTCAGAATCAAGTATTCAGCAATAAAAGTTTATTTTCCAGCAAGTAATTCACAGCTTTCGTTTTACTTTCTCCCCCTGTTATCGCCCCTGCTACTTCTTCTTCACTGTTCTGATTCTTTCTTTCTTCCTTTCTGTTCTGTTTTTCTTAAGCACCAAGGTATCATCCAGTAGATACCTTACACTTGGTATCAAAGCTCAGAGAAAGCCGATCAATTACAGCCCCACCATAAAAGGTCCGAAAATGCAATATCATGTCTTGACCAGAACCATCTATGTTGCCTGGGCGATTAAGATGAAGGTGTTCATGCAAGCACAAGAGGTTTTAGATACTATTGAACCTAAGAGACCCTTGAACGCGGTTGGTGTCAAGAAGGATAATATGGCTATGACAGCGATTTACCAAGCCATCCCAAAAGAAATCCTTTTGTCGATAGCGGAGAAGAAAACGGCAAAAGAAGTATGGGAAACACTCAAGACTATGTATATCGGTGCAGATCGAGTTCGAACAACAAAGGTTCAGTCACTAGAGGCTAAATTCGAGACTCTTAGCATGAAAGAATCCGAGACGGTTGATGATTTTTCAGCAAAAAAAAAAGCAACATCGTGAGCAACATCCAGGCATTAGGTGATATCATGGACGAAGTGTACGTGGTCAAGAAGATTCTACGAGTTGTGCCCTCTAAGTTTGTTCAAATTGCATCGACAATCAAGAAATTTGATGATATAGATACAATGATAGTTGAAGAAGTCGTTGGTAGGCTCAACGCACATGAAGTGCACATTCAAGTACATCAAGAAGTAGACGAAAAGAAATTGCTCTTAATCCATGAAGAATGGTCCGAAAGAAACAAGAAGCAATCGAACGGGCAAGAGTCAAAGAACAAACAACAGGATAATTCAAGCAACCGTGAGGGACGAGG